AACACAAATTTTTTTTAAGAACCCTAAAATCGAGCCAAAGAACACAAAAACTTTAGAGTTGAAATCAACCCCAAATCTTTCATTTTTTGAACAAATTGACATGGGGATATGATAGATACTTCAATTTAGATTCAAATGTCTTGAAAATTTATTCACTATTGAGATCTTTATTTAAAAAATTGGGATTTTTTACTTCACGAAAATTTCAAGAAAGAACGCAGTAAAAAAAATCGATATCAAAACATTTAATCAATAGTAAATCAAATTAACTAGTATATTTGGTAGATAAGGCCTTTATGATCAAACTTCAATGATCAATTAGATAAAAATCTATCAACTGATCGATCAGAAATCAATTTGTTTGGGTAAAAATAGTTCTTCGAGCAGCAGTACTTCGGGCCCAAAAAAACCTCAAATCTTCATCGCTTTAAAAAAATTGTAATATGTACACATTGAATCCTTCAACAATCAGTCAAAGCCCTCCATTTTATGAAAATATGAGGTACTAAAGCTGCATTTGATAGAATGGCAGAAATTTTTAATTTCAAAAATCCCCATTTCAATCCGCCAATAACTCTTTGTTTTTCGACTTTGATTCAATAATCGATGATCTATAGAAACTTTACAGTATATAACATCAATACTTGACCAAAAAAACAAAAAAAAACTACAAAATGGAAGAAAAAAAAAAAACCGCAAAATATTGTTCTATGAAAAATAACGGGCTTGTATCAAATAACGACCGTTATTTAATGCGTTAAAACGGTATTATAACGGACGAAAACAACGGAAAACCATACCGGTTAGGAAAACCGGCCGGTTTTGGTCCCAAATTTTTTTAGAGAGTGCCTTCTTACCTGGTGTACCTTAAAACCGATCCTAACCGGAATCGCCACCCCACCGGTAGTGATCTAACCGGCCGGTTCCTATTCTAAGCGGCCGGTTTTGCGAACACTGACAACATGTAAATCGCACTTCGCCTGCTGTCCATCTAAAGAATGGAGAATTGGGAATGGGGTTGAGGTCGTGGTGGTAGCATCACTTGAACTACAGCAACTGGTCTATGTTTTCATTCTCATTGGCGCATTTAAAAACTGCTAATTATTTCAAAAAAAAAAAAAGTAGGGGCATGTATTCCCCACTGATCTGCCCAAAGAAAAAGAGGAGAATTTCAAGATACTCCCTCAAACATATATGCACGGTTGAAATTTGGAACAAGAAACGAGTAGCTAGATTTATCACTTAATTCAAGTAACAATTTTTAATGGTATATTAGCGACTAATATTAGATTTTTTTTTTTTAGGGGTATGGTTTTTTTGGGTTAGTTTAGCGGGGAAGGGTTCACCATATGCTATTCGTAGGAAGAATGGAACTCAGTCGTCATTGTCGAACTCTGCCACCCTGACCACTCGGCCTTGAGCTCATTCCTAAGCAGGTTTATTTTTAATTTTCATTTAAGATACCTCCTCAAATAATAGAAAAAAGACGAAAGCCCAAATTTCCCTCAATCACAATTGTAAACCAATTTTCATTTTAGATACCTCCTCAAAGAATAAATAAATAAATAATCTCAAATTTCCCTCAATCACAGTTAAAAGCCCTAAAGAAACAAGGGTGTTTCAATAATTTAATTCCCCTAAACAAGCAAAGGTGTTTCAATAATTTAATCCACCCTATAAAAGTAAGGGTACTCTCATTATTTGATTGGGACCTCGTAGGTGGGTAAAATTATTAAATACCCCTACGGGGGGGCCTCCAACAAGGATAAATTAGACGTATTTTTTTTTGTTCAGGTATTTTTTTTTGGGGGGGGGGGGAGGAAGTGAATTACAAATCCCTACACATTTTAGAAAGATAGTTAATTTTTTTAAAATATTAATAAGAATGGGAGTCATGACCTTTAAGTACGGTTTAGGTAGTACTACCACCACTACTCAAGCCCCATTCGTGTGTTAGGGTACTTTAGTGAGAGTAAAACCTCCAAATATTAATGAAGTAAGGGGTCCTTTAAATCATATTTTCCCTTTAATTTACTCCTAGTGACTAAAATACTAAACAAAATGTGGCAAATGAAAAATGGCTTGAGTGGAATAGTTATTTTAAACTTATTTTGTGGTCACTAGTATTCTTTTAATATTTTCGAGCATATTTACTACGTTTAAGCTTTTGACATTTTTTTAAAGAGAAAAAAAAAAACGATTATCCAATCATCCGGTGATATGTACAAAATAATCTATTTCTTCACATCAAAATCATTGTTTGGAAAGTTGTTTCTTAAAGAAGTTATCTAGATACTAGCCAAAAACAAATGAATTGACTTGGTATCTCCTCTACATCTCGAATTGCTAGGGACCAGTTTGGATTGGCAACTTATTTGACGTAAGTCTGCCACTCTGCCTCTTTTATTTTAGAAAAGAATAAAATAGGCGTTTTTTTATTTTGTTTTTTGGGAGGGGGGGGGGGGATTATGATGATTCGATGAGAGCACAAAACAAAATTAGTTCCTCTGCAAAAAAAACATACTTTGAAGGATTTTTTCTGAAGATGTTGGGATCTATTTTATACTCACCATATGTTATTTGAGTACATTTTTAAAATAAAATATATATATTGTGCTCCTAAATACTTAGATAT